ACCATTAATCTTTAGATTAATATAGATTTATTGTAATAAAGTTTCTACTATGACATTATATTAATAAAAAAAAAAAAAAAAAGTATAATTACTATAAAAAGCTTTCGTTTGTTTAAAGCGAATTAATTTATTTCAAATTATTTTGCATAAACTAAATATAGTAATAAAAGTTATATGTAAAATAAATCAGGTTAATTTGAATTGTTTTACCTTGACCAAATGTGTTTTAAAAAAATTTAGGCGTTATAAAATCATTTAACACATTTAAAAGACTAATATATTGAAATAAATTAAATGTATTTAATATAACAGAGGGAACTGTCACATCATTTGTAGATCAGTTACACAATTCATAAAAAATTTTTTATATTGTTTTAGAGTATTTTTTCAAAGAGCTCACATTACTTAATCTACTTTGAAATATAGGGTAGTTTTAAGTAAACTTGAAGCTTTTGTACAGTAGTTTAAGAATATCAGTTGAATCCTAGTGAATCCTACAACTTTTATATATAGTTTTGCTCTTAAAAGATCTATATAAAATAAAGGAATGCATTAACTGCCAAGCCACCGAATCTTGTAAATTCCATGTGTTGAAAGATAAAAAGTGAAACGAAGCTAAAAATAATAGGTTGGTGAAAGAAATATAGGTAGAAGGTATTATTTTATGTAATTCTTGTTACATAGAGTTAGTACAAAACCTATTAAGCAGAGATTTCAAGAAAGCAAGAATCGTTAAAGATTAATCTATAGCTGAGATGAAGGAGGCAAGTATGTTAGAGGAGGTAAGCGATTAGAGTAAGATCAAAATCTTATTAAAGCTATTAAGTTTATAGCCAAAATTCTTTATAAGAGAGAGCATATAAAAAAGGAAGATCCTATATATGTTTTTGATGAGATGTATGAATTATTTTAAAAAACTGACCCAACTCTTAAAGATTTTTTATTCAACTTTATTTTGCAGCTTGGCCAGGTAAACGTAATGAGCAAACGATGGACCACATGAAGAGATTAATAGTTTTAATATGTTATCTTCTCGCATCTTTAAATAACACAAAAATTAATTTCTTTAAGCTTAATCTAGCATTTTATTTAGATTCAGCAGGAACAAGTAAAGAAGGCTTAAATACAATAGCGAATCTTGGTGTTGCTATGACATCAAAGACAGTAAATAAGAGAAAGAGAAGAATATCTAATGAGCATAAAAAAAATATGGAGAGTGCACTTTTATAGCATTTGAACAATGTACTCGTGCTAAACATAGATGACTATCACAATATTCATATTCCACACTGACCTGACACTACTAGTACTTCTAGGCCAACACATATAGTGACAATTTTGGTAAATCCATCCTTAACACCAGCAATTCTGTCTTATAGAGTCATTAATCTAAGGTTTATTGATAAAGGTTTGATTATAAAACATATTAACACATGTTTTATTGTAAATCTTGGTGTTTTGTATTCTCGCATGCAAAGTACTAAAGTATATACTGATGAAGAGGTAATAGATAATTTAGTATTATATAGTTATAATGATAGGCTCATAGAGAAGAAAAACGATCAGCATATATGCAACTCTATTCTCATCGATTTTATTAAGAAAGATTTGAAAGGTATAGAGAGATACCTGGAGGCTCTTTGTACTGTATACAATCAAGAGTCGATGTAGCTATATTTTTCTAATTGTGCAGTTCCTATAGTTGCTGATTTGCTAGGTCAGTTTTTCATTCATAAAGCTATCACTCAATAACTTCTTCTTAACAACAAATCTGTTTCTCTTTTTGTTACGTTATTCTTACCTATTATGGGTCCTCTTCACATATCTTTGAATGGTCGTAAGCTTGTATATAAAAAGAAATTCACTTTTATTTATTAATATATACAAGAATATTTTTGGTGTAAAAAAAAATATTAGTAAGACACTACGGCCATGGAGAATTGATTTAATTCTCCATATCGTGCATATAGTGTGATCTAATATTGCTGATATAGTTCATTCAAAATTTGGTTATATGTATAAGAATATAGAATTTTTATATCTAACTGATTTACTAGATAATTTAATTCATCTAGTTCTCGATATTTATGCCATACACCATCGTGAAGGAAACTGGCCAGCTTATGAGGAAGCATGTATGTGCTATTAGAGTGATCTCTTCCTCCGATTTGATCGAAAGAATTATAAGCATGCTCTTTTAATGTTTTTTTCTGATATTTTTTATTGGATGGAGACTGGTCATCCAATGTTTGAAATGATTACTAACTATTTGGCTTCTCTTAGTAATTCTCTAGTTGAAATTGTACATAGTATTATTCAAAGGTGTACTTACAAATTCTTTACTGCTGATTAGTTGTGAAAAGAAGCGTATTCCATTTTTTAGCAAAGAAATGATAATGCTTTTTGTCAAAATTTTGTAAATTCTATAAAGTATCCATATACTCCAAAGCAGTTAGATATACTTTATCAAAAATACTCTATACAGCTTTTAGAGTTATTTGCAAAAGTGTATCGAAATCGTAATCTTCACCCTGTTATCAAATCTTCAGAAGATGGTATCAATACATACTGACTACCTTTACTAGATTACGATGTGACTGATCATCATCTTCCAAGGGGCTTTGTTACTTCCATAAAGCCCAACACATTAGTTTTATACGATTTGATACACTGCGACAGGGTTTATGATTTGTATAATGATATTGTTTTGGCATGTAGGTATGGATACTATAACTCTTGCTTACAAAAATCTTATTTTAAATGTCTTATTTGTTTAGATTATCTTCAATACGAAATTAATAAGAACGTCGATGCGCTAATGGTAAGTATAACTAATAAAGTATTTGAAAATGAGTCTATGAATGAGGGGAATGAAAATGTAGTCGATGATGAAACTTTAGATGATATCGATAAAATAATAGGCAATTCAGTAGAAATAGATGAATTATTAAAATATATAAAGCTTACATTTCAACAATTGCAATAAAAATCGAAAAAAATTTAAAAATAAGTTTTAATATCTTTTATTATTGCTGCGGAAATCACCTTATTACATAATTATGATCGATTTTAATTAATTAAACTTGTTGCATCCGTCCGTAAAAACCTCACGTGGAAAATCGGTCAACATGATATGTGCAATGTCGATCACAGTGTGATTCGTGTAACATTAGACAGTTCCTCCTGTTAGGTTTAAGTTAATAGTATTGGGTTCACTCTACTTTGGGTTTATTGTTTTGTTTGGCTAACTAATGAGAGCTGTGTTAGAACCATATAACTCTAATTAATCTACAGTTAGAGATAAGCTAGTATACTCACTTTTTGTTTTAGTATATGGATTGTATTTTGAATGAGTTGACAAGTTTTGTTAGTATTATAGTAGGAGTTGGAAGTGATGGTGTTAAGGCTTTGGGTAGATTTTCTGGGTCAACAGTATCAGTAGAGAGTGTAGAAATTCCAAAAAGTGTGTCAAAGACTGATTGAAAAAGTGATTTGCATTGTAACATGATATTGAAGGCTTCAGAAGAGTAGTTGTTGCCAGGAAGTATGTTTTTGCTACTCAAACTTCTGTGTGCTATGTTTGTCATACTGTAATTATACTTTAGTAGCTTAGGCTTGTACTTGGGTAACTTTATTTATTAATAGGATTATTTAACAGACTTTGTTATCTATACTTTTGTTTACTTTTCTAATTAATTTTTTTATTTTTGCAGTGATTTTCAGGGGAATGGGAAGAATTTTTTTGATAATTATCATTTTTATTATAATAAAAATATAAAGTGTTTATTTAGAAGGAATTTTTGTGTCTTTGATGTAAAATTTTCTTTAAGAGAAGATTAATAAAAGTTGTTTAATAAGCTCAAGTTAATAAAAAGGTTGTACAACGCAACTAAACTTTTATGAACCTATGTACTGCGGCTGCGGCGCGCAGATCATCTGACTGGACTTTTCGTGGTCGCCCTGGCGCACTCATATTTGCTCTTCGAAATGCGCGCTATTTCAGGACGCGCATGGGTGTTATTTCGAAACTACCTATGCTATTTTTAGGGGGCACGATTTTCGAAATAACGCCCCTGCCCGCTATTTCGAGAATTTACGGTAAATGTATTTTTAGTTATAATCGTAAGAATATTATAATATAATCTTTATTTTCAAATAACAAAAAAAATTTTTTTTAAATAGTTTAAATTTTTAAAAAAATAAATAATAAGCAAATTTCTAGCAATTTTCCAGGAAAATTTGTCTAGAATTGCCTTACAGTTTAAGGGATAAATATATTTTTTGCTATTTTGTACTATATTAATTTACAAATTATATTTGTTTATATTTTATTAAAGCTTCTTCCCAGGTGACGTCTTCTTCGACCAAATCTTCAAGAACTTGAAGTATAGTATCAGTCTAAGAGAAAATTTAAGCATATTTAGAGATAAAATGTTTGTAAAACCACCAATAGCCTCCGATTATAAAGATAATGTTACCTTTTCCCTGATTTGTTTGGTAGAATCCCTTTCTCGCAATGTTACAGTTCCATCTTGCACAGATTGAAAATCAATGGTGATCGCGAATGGTGTGCCAAGCTCATCATTGCGAGAATACCGGCGTCCAATTGAATTAGAAGAGTCATCTACCTTAATGGAAATATGAAGCTTACGAAGTTTAGAAGCTTTTGGGATTAGTAGTTTGCATTATTATGATTAGTAAGAAAACCCATAAAGTTATTATTTTGAACGATTATTATCATATGATATTATATTAGTGGTACTCACAAAGATCGCGTACAAGTTCAGAAAAAGCAGGGTTATTACTTAGAGGAACTAGTAAACATTTGAAAGGTGCAACACGTGGCGGGAATGATAAAACCTATTAAAAACGTAGTTGTAAATTAAATCATTAATTCTATTAAATTTTGAAGTCAAGAGCGCAATAACGTACCGCTCTTTGTTCATCACCTTCGCGAGTCCAATATACATGTTCAATTAATGAATATAGGATCCGACCAATACCAAATGATGGTTCTATAACATTGGGAATATATTCCCTAACTTGATACATGAATTGAAAAAAAAAAACAATAGCGTTACAATAAAAATAAGTAAAAACAAGTAAATATAATAGTGAGCACCCGTACCATGTTCTGTAATGGTCTGTTTCTGAATAGTAAGAAAATCACTCGATATTTCATATTGATTACCGTCAGCACAAGAAACCATGGTTTTACTATAACATATGAATAAATATTAGGAATTATCAAAATCAATAAATTATGATCATACGTATATGGAATTACTCATACCCATTTCCATCCTCCAATTCCTTTTTCAAAGCTTCCAATTGTTCCTCATTCAGGTTAGTTAAATAATCTTCCACAGTTTTTGCATTTTGCCTGAATTTAGGACCAAAGATTTTCTTGTTGATTTCCAGAACAATTTTTTCATAGATCAACGGCTCGGCCAAGCTCTCTCTTACGATAAGCTTTTCTTTCGTACGATTTGTATGAACAGTCAAATCATACGCAGAACGATCAGCACAACCGACACATTCTATCCATCCCTAATGAAAATTGTCAAAAAAAAAAAAATTACAAAGGGAAATTTATAATATAGACAATAATGAAGAGATAACACACATAGCTACTTTGAATTTCAGCATCCCAACAATCACAAGCATAATGAGCCATCTCATTAGGCATATGTTGACGAAAGCGAAGCCTATCGTATTTGATACCGAGCATAGTTAAAAATAAATGTGTACGAGCAAGGAAATAACCCAGAGTTTCGTTGTCAACAATTTTCTGTATTTCAAATATAATATAAATTTATATATAAGTTAAAGCTTCAAAAAAAACAAGAAACTATAAAACCGGGGTAGACAATTACTTTTTCGACAGCTTCGCCAATAGGCAATTCGATAGGTACTGTTTTACCTTCGCTTTGTATATGCCGTGGAAGCAAAGAAAGTTTAATGTCTTTTACTTCATCAAAACGAGCATGTTTCTTGTTATTGGGATCTACGTAATGTTCGATTTCAGCCATTGTAAATTCTCTAAACAATTTAAATATGTTTGTTAATCAAAAAAATCAAAAAGTGATAAGCATGAAATCGAGATAATTCCCACCTAACGCGGAGAAGACCTGATCTTGGACTAATTTCGTTTCTGAAAGAACGACCGATGGAAGCGGAAGCGAATGGCATTTTATCATTATTAAATTCAAGAAATTTCTTAAAATTGAGAAATTGACCTTGCGCGGTTTCCGGTCGGAGGTAGCTAAAATAATGAAAATATTAAAGATTGAATTGCATTAAACAACATATGAGAAAAAAATTTAAAGATTGAATTACATTAAACAAACACATGAGAAAAATTAAGAGGGAGCTAGATTACCCTTTCAAATGTCCGGTGGGTCCAATGCTACTCTCAAACATTAAATTAAATTCGACAGGTTCGGTTAGATCATTACCCGTTTCAGGACTTTTGATATTATGTTTACTTATGATTTCTCCAAGCTCTTTACCAGTATAATTATCAATCTATTTTATTAATACATTAATAGTATGATTCATCCCATTAGTTAATATGGATATCATATATATTTGTAAGGTACTGATATTTCCACACCCACATAGATCATTCATTTTTTAAAACTTTGATCAAAGGTATCACAACAACCACCTGATGAAATTCGATGAAAGTTTTTTTTTTTTGAATTCCATGAATTCATATAATTCAAATAAAAAAAAAGTTCATCGAATTTCTCGGGTAGTTGACAAGATATTTTTGATAAAATTTTTAACGTCTATCAAAGTTTAAGTCGCGATAAAATTTTTATAATTTTTTGATCGAAAATATTTCGACAACCACCTGATGAATCCAATGAACCTTTTTTATTTAAATTCTGTAAATTCATAAAACAAAAGTTCGCCAGATTTTATCAGATGGATGTCGAGATATCTTGGTGAAAACTTTAGAAAAATTTTAAACGTTTATAAAATGTAAACCGCGGCAAAATTTTTCATGACTTCGATCGAAGATATCTTGACAACCACCTGATGAATTCGATGAATTTTTTTTAATTGATTTCATGAACTCAGAATTCAATAAAAAAAAAAAGTTTATCAAATTTCATCAGGTGGTTGTCGAAATACCTTCAATCAAAGTTTTAAAGATAGCGATCTACATAAAATATCAGTTCCCATTCATAATTTGTTTGTAAATTAAAATTTGCCTTTGCCAAAATTTCTTCATATTCTGCTTTAGTAGCATCATCTAATTTTACAGCTTGAACTGTACCCTTTTTTTTCTTTTTATCATTTTGAGATGTTGCATCATTTTCAGTCATTAATCCAGCTTGTTTATCACCATCTAGCCTTGTTTCTATAACGTTTTCAACTAAATGGTCAGCACGAAAAATGTCACCAGTCTTGACATCTTTAACCATCCAATCACTAAATTTATCCACGTGACCAGATGTTTTCAAAACATCTGCGAGCGTAATAATTGCACCATCCATTTCAAGCATTTCCTCTTCTAACACAAAATGCTTACGCCATAAATCGATGATATTAGATTGAAGAGCGCAGCCGGGAGGGCCATAATCATAAAATCCCGCAACACCTTTTTAAATCCAGAATTTGAAATTGAATCAAAGGGTGAAAAACATGATAGCATTACACATATTTTATATACGCAAATCCTTAAGCTTTGTCTTTGAACACTTATCTTTTCATAAAAATACTTTTAAGAAAAAAAATTACTTACCACCATATGCTTGAAAAGAAGGCGCGTAGAAAAAGCGTTTTTTCAATAATTCCTCTAAGGAGGAACGGCTAAACGCGGTCATACTGTAGTTGTTGGACGAAAACTTTTTTGTGAAACTTAAAACTGGAGAAGGGCGAAAGACGAAATCCTGACGAAGGACGAAGCCTAAAATCGAAGACGAAAGGCGAAACTTGGCGAAACCTGGCGAAAACTTGGAAAAAATCAAACCCCCAATTAAAATATGAAACTTTAAATAAAATTTTCAATTCGTAAATTAACTAATGGAAAGACAATTATTTATTGAGAAAGTTTGGCATATTTGAAGTGTAAAGATGAATGCCTGTCTATATCGGGGCCAGATTTTCTCTTAAAATATAAGCCTCAGAAATCACCACAGAATATCACAATTCTAAATAGAGAATCGCAGAATTTGACCATTATTTGGGGTTACAATCATAGGAATTAGCAGAATTTTTCAACAGTTAACCGCAGAAATTGACCTTAATCACCACAAAATTCTAATCGCTGCAAAAAATCCCATTAATGTCAGCAACTTTGGGATAATACAGTAATACTCCTGCTACAGTCACATCAATTTGATGTGACTATAGTGAGTAATACAGTCAAATCTCGGTTATATCACCACGGAAGAAATAAGTTCGTTATGGTATTTTCTAATTATTTTTATACCGAACTATTATGAAATTTTATATCAAAGTTCTTTATAAAGAGGTTCGTTATATCCATTGACTTTTGCTATCCTGTACTGTATAACTTAGATATAACTAAGATATATATATATATATATATATATATATGTTGTATATAAGTGGGAATAGAATCATAATAGGTTCGGAATCCATTTAGATTAGAACCAACCCTAACCTTAAAAATTCTGAATCAACTTAAAATTCTGTTCCCACTTAAGATATATTCATTTTACTAAATATATAATAGGGATTCAACTTACTTAGTGGAGATGTAACTGAGGTACTGTAATCACATAGTATGACTATATCGAGAAATACATAGCAATAGTCACCTGGTCTGACTATATCGAGGGTTAGGCTGTACTTAGCTTCTGGTTTCTTGCTATAGTGTAGAACGCGGTTTTTCAAAAATCTTTCAGACGATTCTTTAAAGCAATTACGTTAAGTTTTTATTATATTCGCACATTTTATAATTTAAACGCAATAAATCATGAATTATCACTAAACTATATACCACAGAATTAACTTTATTATCACATTGTCTCGCAGAATACAGTATATTTTTTTAAAAAAAAACAGCCTAACCACACGCAGAATTTTGTCTTCGCAGCAGAAAATAAAAATTCACTATATCGAGGGTATTGAGAGTTTTATTAGCACATCTATATTGATAATTTTAGGCTACAGTAAAATTATGTGAATAGGATCTTAGAGTAAATTGGCCGGCATTAGCAAAGTGATGCAGGCCGACTGATTTTCAACCCTTTAATTCTGGCTGCAACCTGATATACAGTCACGTGAAAATGAGTATAAACAAATATAAAAGACGCGTCTGTTTAGGAAAAAAAAAAACTTTTCATACTTTTCTTTATATCAATAACGAAAAGTCTTTTAAAGAACGAGACGAAAAGCAATGGCATCTCATCAAACTACCGTTACTACCGTTGGTACCAAAGACAATGAACTTTGTTCAGTCCAAAATTGTCAAGAAACTTCTAACGAAGAATGTCAGAATGTAATGGAGATTCAAGAAATGCACGTTCGAAAACCTAAAGTTTCTCAAAGTAATTTCTTTCTGAATAAGCCTTTTAAGTAAGTTTTAACAATTAAAAGATGAAAAATAAAAAAGAATACTGTTTAATGAAAATTATTTATAAACATTACTACTTTACGAAACAATTAGCTTTAGTTCTCCTACAGATAACATTTTATCTCCCTGTACCAAGATGTTACAGGCAAAGAAAGCGAAAAACTGTGAAGGGTAAGCCTTTTTAACTTATCAATTCATTCTTAACGAAATTTCAACGCGCTTTAATATACAATGAATCTTAAACCGCTTTTTTTTCGTTTGTACGATAGTGCCAAACCCAGAATTCTCAGTGGAATTTTTGCCAAAGTGTTGAGAGAAGAACAAAAGAAAAAAGTTCAAGAGTAGAATGGATCAGTCTTTAAAAATATCGAAACGGACGGTAATGAACTAAGTACCAAATAACTCTTAGTCCTTAGCCCATAGTCACCCGGCCCTAGTTTAGATTATGGCTTTGAATAAATAAATAAAATTAAATGCAACTTTTTTTATAACTCTTTCCAATAAACTCTGCATTTATTTTTCAATGTTTCCAAGTGTTGAGACACATGATAAGTTAACATAAGTTGTCTTATAATTAATGAAATAAGTATTGAAGTCTCAAATTTCTAATTAAATAAGCAAAATGTCTAATTATTTTGGACATAATGATAATTTTGGCCCATATTAAGCCAGGAAATCTAGAAATGGGAACGTTCAAGGTAAAAAAAAGATGAGACTATGTATTATATAATCCCATCATTTATTTTTTTGCTATGGACACGAAACAAAATACGAGTGGTAGCCAAGGATTTTAAGTTACCTAAAGGGTTTGGTAGCTTACCAATTGCAGTAAAAACTTATAAATTACAGCAAATTTACAACCCTGGAGTTAGCGTCAAAGTCCCATTAAATGATTCCATTCAATGATTTGGCAATACATTAATAATAATTAATGATCCAATTTTTTCCTGACCTCTTTATTGTAATGTGAAGCTATTTATGTACTGGAAAATTTGCACCTACGCGAGGACAACCTGATATATACTATTTGTTAAACAGGCAATATGGTGCTCCTCATTAGAACACGCTTGGCTGTTTGTATAATGTATCTTTCAGTATCATGACACCTGACACATGGAGCCATTCGTTTCATCATTGAAATTTAAAAAACATTTGATACATTTATATAGGATTTTCTTACATTAGCAAATGAAAAAACGAAATGAAGTATTTATTATTGCCATTTAAATTCATTAATATTGTGGCATGGAAATCCTATATATATATTTTTTTTTTAAAAAAAAATAAAAATTTATATATTTTATAATCTAAAAATGACGGAAAATTAATTGTTATTAATAAATAAATATTAAGGTTTGAAATTGATTCTAGACCGAAAAAGTTCATCCTCATTTATCTATTATTTAAGAAGTTATTTTTTTACGCATATAATGTACCACTGGTTAATTAAAAAATGAGACGCGTCAAAAATGTTAATGATATTTCCGATAGATTGACCGGAATTAACTATATTTCTGGTCAATCCTGTCGGAATTAGACTCTTATTTAGTTTTAAAATAAATCACTATACAATATATATATAAAGAAATCATTTAAAATTTGTGAATACAAAAGGCGTCAAATGGAATGTACATAAAAAAAAGTCTCGCATGTTTTAAAGTTATCATTCTTTTCTTTTTTATTACACATTACAAATTATTATTATTAACATTACTATTATTTTTAATTATTAAAAGATAATTAACATCAAACTAAAAAAAAAAAAAACGAACCCCCACATCCCAATTAGAAAATATGTACATTAAAATAAAAACATCCTTTAATTCGTATATATAAAAAAGCGTAATTCCGTATGTTTTGAGTTGGTGATGAAATTGAGAGTGGTGCGTGAAATTAATAAAAAAATGCGTAATATGCTAAATTTAAGTGTAATGAAATGAAATTTAAAAAGCTTACATAGTTCCATGATTTTTAAAAATTCTATATAATAATAATCTGTATAAAATCTATATTGCGTATCATCTAAAAATGTTTGTGCTTGTTTGTTATTATTACCAAAATTTTCTAGAGCCTTTTTGAAAGTGGCTTAATTCGTCTAATGAAAAATTAACGCACACTGTAGGGAAAAAAAATTTTATAATAATACATGAAAAATAAATAGAAAAAGCGGGAGGTATAATAATAAATCTAACTAGATGTGCCGAAAAAATTAGCACTTATTAATAATAATTATTGTTCGGATTCTATATAATACTACAAAACGGTAATCAATACCGTTATTCGTTGCTACCCACCGATATTTTAATAAGTTATAAATTGTTCGTTGTCTAAATTAATATACACAAACAACGTCACGAGAGACGTGTTTGGAAAAAAGGGTAAAATTACATCGTCTTACAAGACATGACAGCAAGAAAAATAATATAAACATCAAGTCTAGATAGACAAAAAAATAGGTATTTCGGGGGTAACACCTACTACTAGAGCAGGGATAATTGTTCGATCTCGTAAATTATTCTTGTGTAAAAAAAAAAAAAAAAGAAAAAAAAAAGAAATATTCGTGATGATTGTTCATGTAAAATAAACCGTGTCCCGTATAAAATAAATTCCAAGATAAAATTTTTACCATATAATGTTCAATATAGTTTAGCCATCTCAATCTCTATAAAGTCCCGATTTTTATGTTCTAGTTGAGTTACGAGAAGTTCGAGGACGTGATGCGGTACCAGAATTGAGTGCAGAAGTTGAATCTGAGACCGACGCGGACGCTTGGACTTTCGGAGTAGACATGAGAGGCAATCTTTTACGGGGAAGTTCAACAACTATAGTAGACGGAAAATAAATTAAAATTCATATTCAAAATTTCAGATAATAATAACAATATAAGAATAATAATAAAACCTACCGATTCGTTTTCTTCGCAAGTTTTCTTGGCATCCTTTATCACAATACCAAGCTTCATTACCATTTACAATTTCATCATCAATGCAAGACGTATAACATTTTTGATGAAATGCTTTAGGACAGCCTTCACATCGAACAAGAACATTATTAACGAAGGAATCTTGTTTCTGGCATGTTGTGCAAACTAATTAAATAGTATTTTAATTAGAGATTGTTATTGTTATCAAACATTAAACATAATCATTAATAAATGATCAATACATACAAAGTTGCAATACTGGACGTTCACGTTCTTCAATGGTCTCGTTGATGAAATCTTTCAAGTCCAATCGTGGTAGTTTGCACGCAAATCCGTAACCTTTATAATCACAACCATGTTTACTAGAAGTCAAATAAAAAATTTGTTAATAAATGTTATTTATTTTAAATAAAAAATTAGTGATAATAAAAAAAATTTTTTTTCAAGACATACTTGCACAAAGTTCGCTTTCCCCAAGGACCAGGTCTCCAGTTGACACCCTCGGTAGTACCACAGTATCTACACCAATCAATGCCAGACTTGGTTAAAGTCTCAAAGACGGTAGGAGACTTTGTAGAACGAGGAGAGGTCAACTCAAGAACTTCTGATTCTTGAGGTTTCTCGATTGGTAACACGATAGTTGTCGGAACTGGACTATCAGCGACCGAAGCGGTAGGTGTAGTAGCCTTGCTAGATCTCTTTGAAGAAGATCTTGATGTTTGCTTTCTTCTACTAAATATACAATAAATAAAGATATCAATAATCATATAAATATATATATGTTATAAATATTAAAAAAAAAAAAAAAATTACCGTTTATTAGACATATTCTTTGACTTGCTCTTTGATCTAGGGGCTGATTTAGGCTTCACCACACTCTTTACTAAAGGAAGAGACTTTAATGGCAATAATTTTGTCTTTGATTGGGACTTTGAGCTCTTTCTACCAGTACGAGCTTTTTTATTGCTCACAGATGGGCGGTACTCTTCGTCATCATCCTCGTCAGTATCGTCAGAATAAATAGTATCAGTACTATCTTGATATTCGTCAGCGATGCCATCGCTAGCATCGGGAACTTCGTGGACCTCATCAACCATCATATCATCGGACATCGGATAATCATCATTGCCTTGAAGATTGTCATTAGAAGACAAGTTTAAGTCTTCTTCGGTTTCACAATCTTTTTCAACAATTGAAGAATTACGTTTTTTGTTATTAACTTTAATAGCTTTTTGAGCATCTACACGAAGTTTTTTATCCGCTTGCTTTTCGGTAGACATCGAGTCTGATAAATCATCATCTGAAGATGAAACATAGGACATTCTTCGTTTAAGACTATTGTCGCTTACTAACTCTGGAGTCTGAAGAGGAGGACTCGGTATATTATCACCAAATTCAATATAATTTGGATTAATTATGACGGGAGTAGGTTTATTATTACGATTATTTGATTGAACGAAGGATGAAGAATCTATAGCAGTGATGAATTTTGGATCGATGGTCCCAGTCAAAGGGGTAGTACTACCACTTGCGTGATTATTATCAATATCATAACCAATTGAGAAATTATTCGAAGTAGAAGAAGAGGAAATCAGCGAAGGATCAATTGTATTCATAGAAATTGAAGAAGAATTCGTTTCATCAGATGAAATAATAGTCGATTGTGATTGTAAATCAGAAGACGAAACCACATCAGAAACGGAAGACGATGCCGGAGCTAAAGATAAAGATGAAGAGAGAACAGAATCCGTAGAAGATATATTAATAGGAGATTGAAGACCTTTTTCTTTTGGATCATCGAATTCATCTTCGTAAATAAGATTCCAGATTGAACTATCACCGTCCATTTCGATAGGAGAAAGATTAGGCGAATAATGAGGATTAGGGGTTAAAATGTCCGTATCAGAAGAAGCATCACTATCAAAATGGAGACGTTGTTCTATGGTATCTTTAGTCATTGGGTCAGAAAAGAAGACATCATTCACAACACCATTATTGTAACTGATATGCTGATAATCAGTTGATAAATCAGTTTGAGAATCAGTAGAATGAGATGTCATAGGATATTGGTCTAAAGAAGTGGAATGTTGAGTTGGAACCACTAATGACAAAGAAGACCGATTAATCTGGTGTGACAAAGAATGAGACCTAGCAGAAACTGATACTGATTGTGTCATGGGATGAGTCATGTTACCAGAAACAGCACGAACGGATTGCTGAATCAGAGCGACAATATTAGGATTCGCAAGTTTGTCTCTGCATTGTTTACAAATGGATTGTAAGATATTCGTCTCCGTGGTAACCGGAGTACTTCTCATATTATTAAGACATTCAGAACAAAATATTGAAGCTAAAGTTTGATCCATTTGTGAAGGTCTCATATGGTGATAATGATGTAGTGAATTATTGAAGGATGTAGAATAAGGGTGAACCGGCCCAAAATAACTTGTTTGATAATTTCCATATTCAATATGAGGGTAATGCATTGACGACGTCAAATCCTTTGACGAAGGCACGTTATTTGACGTAATATCATCATATTGTGTCGGAACAATTACTTGAGGTTGAAGAGCTTGTGAATACGCCCTGCTCTGAGTCGATTGCCGCGACATTGGTAAAATTTGACGTGGTTGTGATTGATGGTCATTGTAATTCGAACTTTGCGAACTACGTTGAGTGGATGATTTCTTGACATTCGATGTGCTCGCCATCGTATATTATATTTTGTTCGTAAAAATTTTTATAGGTAGATAATTAAGAAGTGTGTACACAGTCGAGTGTATTTATTTACTATGAAAAAAGAAATTCATGAAAGATAATCGGTTAGTATTGAGTCACACACGTTTTAACGTGGATTTAATTCAGTGACCAAGATTTATATCTATCATATGTTATTAATAATGTCTCGTAGTAGAAATGGTTGTTCGAATGCTTCCAACTAATGCTGTTTATTTACTATATTATTGTTATGTAAATACTATGTACTGGTCAACAGGAAAATATATAATAGAAAATAACTTAAGGGAAAGTATTCAAAGTGTAAAATGCATATAATTTAAATGTCTTTATCGAACACTGAATTCTTGAATGTAAAAGTGAAAAAAAAAAAGTTGAGGCTGAAGAATTGATAGATTTAAGAATGATGAATAGTGACAAATGGGGCTGTGCGCAGCAAAATTAACAAGCCACTGCTGCGGATAAAATTGATAGGGAGACGATGCACGATGATGATAATATAATGATAAAAAATTGTTTGAAGGAAAAATAGATGTATTATTATTGAAGAGAAATAGGAACAATATTAAAATTATCTGAAAAAAAAAATTGTAAAAAAAAAAAATTTTTTTTTTTTGGCGTTGATAAGAATATCTAACGGGGGATTATAGTTACATGTGAACAATATAAGTTGAACAAGGGGTGTAATATACACATATATATTTATATATATGTATATATTATTCTTAATCTAAAGCATCAAATGCGAAAACTTTTTTATGAAGAACATCATAATTTGTGGAGAATTATGATGTTGAACGGAAGCGAGGACAAAAAGTTGATGTAAGAGGCAAAGGATGTGCAAGGCATCATTAAAGTGTGAGTGGACGCTGAGAATTAAAGGATACTTACGCTTTTTAATTTACTCCAAAGACAACAAGTGCCAAGTCGGAGAAAGAATGTGTTGAAAAAAAAATTGGGAATTGAAATGGTTTTATAAGAAAAAAATATATTGTTAGTTTAAAATATAAATGCGTCACACTTTTGTATCAATCTTATCTGAAACAAATTTTAGTATAAATAAATAATTAAAGTACGTATATATATATGGTCTTAAAATAAACTGTACACTTATTATATTCGATTGTTTAAACTGTATAAAAATTACTAATATTTCTTTTTGGTAATAATTATTAAGACGCCGATTCGGATTTTGGGTATGGTTTCACAAAATTGTAGATTTCGCCGGGCGGGCTATCGCAGATCAGCAAACTCAAATACTATAAACGTGTCTCTTAGTTTCATGTTGATTTTTATACTTTTCACGTGTTCTTATTGATGCCGGCCATTTTAACTTGAAATTAAAAAATGTTTAATATTTTTTAAAATTAATATAAAATATAGTTTATATTAAAGCTTAATTATAAAAAATTATTTTTTTAAACAAATTTATTAAAAAAATAAAAAATAATTTTTTTTTAAAAATAAAAATACTATTTATAAATTATATATTAAAAAAATTTATTAATTATTTTTTTAATAGGTAATAAATTTAAAATTATTATAAATTATAGTATTTACAAAATTATATAATTAATTATTAATACCTTAAACATTAAAAAAAAAATAATAATAATAATTAATTATTAATAGTTTTATTTATTTTAATAAATAAAATTTATTATACTAAATTTAGTATATATATAAATTTTAATACTTTTTAAAATAAATTATTTATTAATTTTTAAAATTAATTATTATAGTAGCTAATGCTGAAAATGGATTATGCTGAAATTTTGCCATATTTTATTATAAAAATTGTAAAATTTTTTTAGGATCTTTTTTGTAGTCTTTTTTTTTATAATTAGATTAGAGTTAGAAGTAGTTTTATTAATAAAAAAGTATATATGGGTTTTAATAAGTATTATGGGTTTAAATAAAGACTTCAAATTTTTAGTATAATCTATTTTTAGCATTAGCTCTACAATTATTTTAAAAAGTATCTATATATTTTTACTATGTTTTTTATATAATTTTTAGCTATATAAAAATAGTAAATTTCTATGGTAAAAATAGGTATTTTTTTATTTTATTAATATTATTTTTAATATAATTAAAATTTATATAATTATATAAAAAACTTTAATACTATAGTTTAAAATATTTTTTTAAAATTTATATTTGTTTTAAAAATTTTAGTTTAATAATATTTATTATAAAATATATCTTTTTTTTTTTAAGATAATTTCTTAATTAGCAACTTTTTATTAAATTTACTGTATAGATAATAAATATTATAATTATAATAAAAGTACAACTAGCTATATATACAATTTTGAAATTTAATTTAAGTAATTTGCTCAAAGATTCTATACTAGCTACTTATATTTGTAACACAACTATGAAGTTATTTATTTAAACTTTTTAGTCACAACTATTACTATTTCTTAATATATAAACAATTATAAACAATTTGTTTATAATTTTTAGTATAAATTTAATAATTTTAAAAAATTTTCTTAATAAAACAAATCTAAAATTAAATATTTTACTTAGAAAATATATAGCTAAAATCAATATATAAGATTTTATTAAAAAAATTAAACTTTTTAATAAAAATGCAAGCAAATTTGTCTGTATTACAATTTAAAAATAAGATAATAATATATAAACTATAACCTTAACTATAATTTAGCCTTAATTTAAACTATAACTTTTACTCTAATTCTAACTATTTATAAATTTGCTTAAATTAGTTCAAATAATTATTTTTATACATTATAATCTTATAATAATTCTGTCAAACATAAAGCCAAACTTAGTTATACTATTCTCACTAGTATTCTTCTACACTCTCAAATATATAATATTAAAAATATATAAAATATCCAACTTTAGCACCACATTCCCAACTTTCTTAAGCAGTTAAATACCAAGACTTACTTGGATTATCAATACAAATTAGAGTACAACAGCTTTAAAACAACCTCTGATCTTCTACTAGCATTCTGTTATATCCCAACCTTATTATCAATAGACCTAACAAACACTCTACAAGTTTCAAAATTATACAACTTTTCAAATTTATTAACTACTCAAGCTCTCATTTTCTAATACCTTTTACTCTTTAGAAAGGCTCAATATTCCCCAAATCAATTCTTGCTTCTTATTCCAAATACTCTTTTTTAAAAAGCAACTTTATTATTATTATTTACTCTTTCTTGTTTAACTAACTATATCTAACAATTTCTGCCTTCTTGACTAGATATACATTTTACTTAAACTTAACAAAATTCCAAAAAAAAAAAATTCTTCTTTGGTTTATCTTTCAAACTATTAATACTTCTACAAGCAACTCTATTATATTGGTTGGCTACAAATTAATAATTATATAATACAATATATCTTTTAAGCTAAAATTGAACTTTGGCCTTGCTCTTTTAAAGCTAAACTTCTTATAATACTGTTAGCTATTAGTACAGTTTCTTAAAACTCTACTATCTATATCTATACAGATTCTCAATCAGTAATTTTAAAATACAACAGCCTTCTATACTTTACTAAAGTAGCAAACTTCTCAAATATTTTATACTGGTCTACTTGAAAAACACTCTTTAATATCTGTTTCTTATATAATTTTTCAATTATTTTCCACAAAGTTCTGGCATATCAAGACAATAAACTTAATAACAAAGCTAACAAACTAGCCTGCAATTACTTCAATACACTAATTTTTGTACTTAGCCCTAGTAATATATACAATGCTCAATTTGGTTGATTCTCTCACTTAAGGATCTTGTTGTTATTTAGTTTTTCAATCTTAGCTATCACTTCTAAATTTAGCCTTCCTGTAGTATTGTTGAAAGTATTTGCTACTTCCTTACTTAGGTCTTCTCAAATAGGTTTTGATTATTCCAGTTTCTTGGCATTTCTGCACTAAAGCTTTCATAATAAGAAAGTATAACCAAGATTACAGATTATAGATGTCGTATACGTTTGCACTTATAGGGGTTTCGGGCTCGATTCACTTAGTCAGAGCACTCGCTTTTGCACTGGCGTATCGTACCAGGC